AACTTGTGTAGATGCGATTGATTCGTTTATTTTTAAAGACCAATTAAACGAAAACTCCCGAATTCGAAGCCAATAATAGTCCGACAACACATCTTCAGTGGATGTTATATGGCTGAGGTATTTCACCCATCATTAAGTGAACCCCGTGCCTGTTTGTCCTACTCTCATCATTAAAAAAAAGTCAAGTAGTTTTTTCTAATCCTTACTAATATTATAAATGCGAAAGTAACTCTGTTTGTCTGTTACTCTTTCACGCCAAAACTACTGAACGGATTTGAATGAAATTTGGTACACCTATAGTCCTAAACCTAGACCCTCAGAAAGAACATAGTCTAATAATAATGTTTTTTTACTTGTGGGATCTGTTAAATGGTGTTTGAACGAATCTGATGCTTTTGTTTCGATTGAAATAACTTAAAAATGCGTCAATATTATTATTTTAAATCTAATCTCTCCGCTATGAACAATTCTATGCACCATTTTACCTGTTATTATTTAATAATACATATATATTGAAAAAAACTACGACATGGGCAGGACACGAATCGGCATCCACAGCGTTCCGTGCTGTTGCTCTAATTGATACTAGGAGACGGTAGCTCAATTGGTTAGACTGTTAGAGTAACAGCACGGAACTTTGTGTATTGCAGAATTATGTGGATACTAAAAGATTCTACATCACTCTATGATCCACAGTTTATGGTAGACTGTGTAATCAGAGCGCGTACATATCGTATATTTTTTCAGTACGTATATTATAAACATAAAGGCCATGTGCCCCCAATCCGTCACGGTAGATCACGTTATCACTAATTCATCCTTATCTGGCCGTATCTAGGCCGACGGCTTTCACCTTTTTTAGGGTTCCGTGGTAGAGGTCTTTGTCTTTTATTAATGAATCATGTATATCATCCATAATTATCTGTGGCTATTTGCAATAGAGACGTAAACCGTATTGGTCAAAGCTATGCATCATCTCATATCTTTCATTTCTTCTACTTTGTTCAGTTAAAAATCATAAGAATACTAGTTCAAGTATATACAATTTAATTTTAAAAATAAATTAAAGCCATTACCTGCCAGTTACTAACTACTACAAAAGGTTATAAGCAAACTTAGTTTAACTGTTATACTTTCACGAAATGAAAATATATGTACGTCGTTCAATAATTCAGTACCCTTCAACTCTTCTATTTTATTATTAAATAGTTACGAGATACGGGGTGCAGATAAACTCGATTTTTTTAAAAACACGCCTTTTATGCAATAAATATACGTTTGTAAACATTTTAATTGATATAAAAACTAAATGGCTAAGTTACATTTATATTTTTACGCCTGTTATTATGTTCATAGCATGTTGATTTATTGCGTGGAGTTGTTATCGTTTTATCAGGGTTCCGGATATAGCCCAACTCCAACTGATTTTATTTCAATAATAACATGAAAATTTGTCAAACGAAATAATTAACTAAAATTAAATAATTAAACTGTAACTTAGTCTTGAAGAATAAGACATCTAAATAAAACACTTTAACGGTTTATAACGCGATATATTAGTTAAACTTATTTGGAAATGATTTTTAACTAATATATCGCGTTTTAAACCGTTAAAGTGTTTTATTTAAATGTGTACTACTTGTGTAAAGTATAGATAATATTGAATAAGACATCGTCAAAGGTGGATATTTTTCTTATTTTTTTTTATTGATTAAAATAGGCCTCGTTGTAATATTTTTAATATTATTTGTTATTTATTTTTTTAACGTTGAATTATTAGTTTAACTTTTTCATCAACTCTCATATCTGTTTTTTTTATAAAATTGTTTTATTCCTCTTTCGCTCTGATGTCAACTAATTACTGATGTTGGTTATGATTGCGTGTCAGAGAATATGAAAAAAAATGTGTTTTATCGAATTGAAATAAAATTTATTAAGTAAATTATAAGTGTCGTTGATATGAAATTAAACAATATGTAGCTATATATATTTAACACAACAAATTGCCAGCGAATTTGAAGAAAAAACATATTTATTCTAATAGTTATAGTGGTCCAGTTAAGCAATTATATATGTACAATTTGGTGACAATTACATATATTTGGACTAATCAGGCAATTTACTGTGTGCGTGTAAGAATTAGGCAGTACACGGCGATGCCCTTACTCTGCGACAAGGCTGTCTTTGACGTCATAGTGTGAGGACGTTCACGCGGATGTACGAAGGAAATTGTCAAATGGATGCGCTATTTTATCATCGTCCCGGTTTATTTTTTCAATAGTAAAATTTCTAGATGAATTCTTTGAGGGTCTTAAACGGGACGTTGCTAGAAAACTAATTGATTGTACCTCTACGGAATCTGGAAATTCTATCTAGTCTGTTATGCGTGAAATGGTGGTATAAAAATCGGCAGATAGTAAGAACTGATCACTAAGCCTTCTTTCTTGGTGCCCAATAAAAATTACCCAGTATATGTTTAAGCTTTAGGCTTAGCTTGACATAGAAACTAGAATCACACTAGTTTGATGTAGATTTAATTGGAGAAGACAATTTTTATTTATTTAAATCAATCATTTTCTAATACGAACTCTTGTTACATGTTATTGGTAAAAGTCATTCAGCCTCGTGTAACATTATTTTTACATAAAAATGCATTTGCGTCATTGCTTTTATGTGAATAGCGAATGTCAAAGACAAGTCGAGCAAAGTCGAATGCGCAAGACGAGTGTTGTACAGATACTAAAATAACTATTATTTAAGTTTAATGTATATTATAAATACTTATATAAAAGTAATAAGATTAAACAATAACAAGAGGCTGTCGTTTCTAGTCAATGGGCTATACTGAAATGATCACATAATATAGGTAGTATTTGTTGGAATAAAAAAAATTACTGAGTGTTTTTATGCGAGTAGTACACAGTCAAATAAAACACTTTTTACGGTTAAAAACGCAAAATTTATTAGTTAAATTAATTTTTTATAGTGTTCAGTACGATCTGACGTTATAGATGCTTTACAGCCACAGTGGCTACGGGGGGACTTGTATAAATTGTAGTTTATTAAACGACAATTTGTACCGTTTTGTATGTACAATATGGCCAATAATTTATAATAATCATACCTTATGCTAGGTTATTTTAATTTTGTTTTTCTTTTGGCAGTACCAGGATTTTTTTTTCTTATATGTTCCGTGGCCACAACCACGTGGAAAAATTAGTTGAGGCCAATAAACAACTTTACTTCCTCCGTATAATAAAGTCGATCTTTTTTACTCTATTTGCGTCACTCTCGCTTATTTGAATACTTATCTCTTCATATCTTCCTACCTCATATACTTAAGATAACTACGAACAAAGGATTAATCATAATAATTGTGAATATCTTGAATATTTAAATAATTATCAACAATGTTTCTTTACGATAAGCAAAATAAATATTGATAGAATAATGAGATATTGTGCAGTAAACATCGTTTAAACTAGTTCCAATACAAACTAATACCTACTTTCGCCTTTTCCAAAGTTTCCTGCTTCTACCTATATTATATGGAGAGTGAAATTTATGCGGAATTAATTATTTTTAATGGAAAGATGTGCATACCAGTATTTATCCAAAGACAAGATAATGACCGTCCATTGTTACCACTATTGTTGCATGAATATAGACTTATGTCATCGTTTAACAACGTAACCAAATTATATGGTTATTCTCGGAGTTAAAAATATTATCATAGCCATAAATACATGGCTGCGAAAATTGTCATGATATAGAACCTTACATAATTTAAAAAATCTCGCACATTTTCGAAACATATTTGTTTTGTTAAATTCATAGCAATAATCCGTTTCCTTCGTTGCATGGGGGAATATGTCTTAGTGTTCGTTAATCTGATCCATTGTATATACAGACAAGAGATTTAAAAAAATAAATTTTTTAATTGGCTTCGGATAAACACAAAATAAATAACTTAATTTAAGTTTAACATTTGTCTTAGATCGGCGTTCTCCTGCCAACGAGAGACGTGTATTGACAAAAATGAAATCAAAAAAATTAATAAGATTAAATTAATTATGTTTTAATTTACAATTATAGCACTCTACACTCACGGTTTTTGAAGTAGCAAATACCTAATTTACCTCATATCTCTTCCAGGTCGTATGGCAATATTCCCGTGAAGCGCAATCCTGGTAAAGCCAAAAATAAGGTAAATAATCTTTATACAGTACGTGTGTAAGCGACTTGAATATTTTGCGTCATAGCAAATGTAAAATGGTTATACGGATTATAAAATTGCATGCATAATGCTCGCCATGCGTGTTACATTCCTTCAAGGTTCAAATATCTGTTATTGTGGTTTTTTATCTCATCACTTTTTGCGCTCGCGCAAGTTTCTTTAATAAAATCCTCATATGTTTTTTGTTACGGCAAATTAACAATAGCTTAGCAACGTACGATTTGGTCGTTATTACTATGTTTCATATTGTTCATACGAGTTTTAATTGATGATTTCAGCCATATATATTATTATGTTGCTCTTAATAATGTTAAAGTGTTTTAATTTTGTTCTTCATAATGGACCGTAACTTATGCATTGTTTTTTTTTCATTAATATAAATTTTAAACGAGACTATAACACATATTATATTTATATGCGGATTGAAATCAAATCGGTTGAGGCTTAATGCTAGATAGCTCTGCCTTTTATGTTTTCTTTCTTTTAAAAAGTTAGAAAAAAACTGAAAATCCCCGTTTCCAGGATGCCGCGCCTTGAACAACCGCCGCCGGAAGACTTCCGTCGGATCCTCCGCGAAAAAGCACTCAACCACAGCCTGTTCTACTTAAAACTCGGCGCAGGAATTGCGCCGGAGCATGCGCGGGAGTCGCCACCGAGTCAGTCACCGCGCAGACAGAGCGAGAGCGCGGCCGTGCGTACGACGCGCAACCGCCAAACGCAGCCGCGCGTCTCCGAGCTATTGAAGCGATTCGAGCCGGGTCCGATGCAGTATTTGCGCCTGCCCAGAGCCCTATCACCTTCGGAAGATATCAGCTCGTCGGACGATGACGATAGAGCGGCTATCAGGCGCCGTAGCCGTGACCTGAGCGACGATTCCGCCGTCGAGCTGGAGCCCCGGAGACGGCATTCCCACCCCCGCGACATAACCCCCCCGCCGGACCCCATGTCGCCTAGACGAGAGCGGACCTTGATCGAGGCTAACGTTGTTGAGATAGGGCGCAGGGGGAGCGAGGGTTGTGAAGCGAGGGCGCGCTGCGTGAGAACTCCCAGCGTGGTGGTCAGTGACTATTCCGATGGTGTCGCCGTGGGTGCTACTGAGGAGGAGGTTGACTGGCTGCGAGCCAGGTCTCTGTCAGCTGATTCCGCGTGCTCTTCCTGTTCTACCCTCTCCAGCCGAGAGGATGACGAGTTCGAGTCCCCGCCGCTACCAAAAAAGGTACGTTCTTTTTATAAATGTAATTTGATTAGATATATATCGCAAACGACGGCTAGTCACGTTTAATTATATTGTAGGCTTATTATTTATATCCTAACAAAAAATTGATTTTTTATAATTAGGAAATACATTTTCTTCGTGTATTTTTATTAAGTTATAGTTTTTATTTTGAGTAAAGATGGGACACCGTTTTTGGAATGAAAATAAACTGCATCGAATTATTAACCATGTAAAAAATCAATCAATTAAATATTATGAAGCAAGTCAAAATAAGACTTAAAGAATTATTCGACGTAAGACCTACGACATTTTGTTTATTAAACCAATTTTTTTTAATCTAATTTAAATAGATGATCAATTAAAGTAAAACACTTTTGAGGACATTTTTATATAACTGTAAAGTTATTATAGGGACAGTAATTTGCTGATTTATCATAATATCTAGAGTGATATAAAATAGATACCTGCATTGAAATAAAACACTTTAACGCTTTAAAACGCGGTATATTTTAGTTAAACTTGTTTGAAAATTATTTTTTACTACGGCCCGACGTTTCGGATGCCGTAGCCATGTGACAAGTTTAACTAAAATATATCGTGTTTTAAACCGTGTAGAGTGTTTTATTTAAATGTATACTACTCGCGTAAACTACAGACAGTATTTAGATCCCTGCAGCTTAACTTCCCGTAGTAGTTATATAGTGACGTGTATGTAGACAGAAATAAGAATTATTAATACAAATACTTAATCCTAATATCATTAGTACATCAAACATAGATTTAAAAATTTCAATTTGGTTTTTAAGAGTTAACTATTAGCTTTCAATTTTTAGCAAATAAACCATTTATATAAGTTATAAATAGTTTCGGACCCAGAGTACATCCCTGCTGTTTATTTACAATAGCCATTGCCCCACTGTGACCTTTGTGCTGACCGAAGCGTATCGTAATCCATGGGTTTCCTGCATTAACTGTTTATTACAATAAACATAACGGATGTTAACATCCGCCCTGATATTAAACAAATAGAGTATTCTTCCCATTTGATCTAATATCAAATGGACTCGAACCTTCTATATAGAGAATTTGTGAGATTCACATTTTTCAAGTTCTTGACATTTTGTCTCCGTCATTTTCTTGCGAATTGGGAAATACACAAAAATATTAGTCTGTGTCATTTCACAAACCCCGTTTTAAGTGGGGGTAACCTATCTTACCCTCCACGTGAAATGTGGTTTTTCAACTCGAATATCAATGAACATACTCCCACTCTGGGTCACAGTGGACTAAGTGCTAAAGTATAGTGAATGTTTTTGCTTTGAATTTCACAATTTCATATATTATATAAGTAAAATTTGTTCAGTTTCCGATTGAAATCTACGCGAGTAGTAAACATTTAAATTAAATACTTTTAACGGTGTGAATCGAAAAATATATTAGTTAAGTGCTGTGCATTCGTAACTACGGCTGTTGCAAGGCATCCGAAACAAATGGCCGTAATTAAAATAAATTGTAAATTAATTAACTAATATATTTCGCGTTTTAAACCGTTAAAAGTGCCTTATTTAAAATGTTTAGTTTCCATTATCATTCCTGTTGCAGCCGGTATTATTGTGGACGTAATAAATAATTATAACGATGGCGACCGCGACAGTCTGGCTATTACGCGAAGATTTTCATGTCTATTGTTAAGACGTAAGTCAAGTTTTTATTGGGAATTGTGGTTTTCTTCGCAGTTACATCACTAATTACATTTAATTGCGATAAATGGTTCGCAATTTGTATACACAGTACCTTTGGTTCGCCTTCGTGGTTCAATGAATCATCGCTTTTTTAAGCGCAAAAGGTCCTAGATTTTAACCAAAAAGGTTTAACATACAGCATAATATAAGGTTTAAAATGCGGAATATATTTGTTAACCTCGTGACCATGGTTGCGACGCATCCGAAACGTCAAGCCATAGGTTAGGTTAAATTAAAATGAACAAATATATTAAGAGTTTTAAACCGTTAGAAGTGTTTTATTTAAATGTGTAGGTACTACTTGCGTAAACTACTTATATATTTTTAATAAATTGACACGGGATTTCAGAAGCGAAGTAGTTCGATTATTACTTATAAAAGCATGTTTATTCTAATAAAAAGCAAAATTTAAGCATTAGTAAATATTTTGTTTAAAACTATTACATAATTTAATTAACTATAGACAAAAAGTTAATATCTATAATAGTGATATTTCTTCCAAATATATATAATTAAAACATACATCGACTTTACATATATATTTTTTATCGTTGTAAGAAATATGAATATAAAAATATTTTTTGCACGTTTTACTGAGTCAAACTGCTAAATTAATTAACTATTCACAATCACTTCTTTTGGACTTTTGTCAATTTTTAAATTAGCTCATACAAAAACTTTTTTGGCCTTTTGTAATGTTTCCTACTAGTTCAATGTTGGTGCAATCGGCACGAACACGGTAGCGCAACAGGAGGAGCAATTCGAATCTCGCAAGACGTATTTTTTTTAAATCTAAAATAGTTTTATATCGATTTACCACGTGAAGCGTAAAAAACACTAGCTGTGCCAGCGATCTCGTCCGCAATGAATAGATTGTTTTGGGCGTCGAAATTTGTTTTTGCGAACTTCCTCCTCATCTTAAATCATAGCTGTTGCCCACGATGTTCACATCCTGTTATACGCGTCCCATCGTCGGTCCTGTGTCGGCCCCGTTGTTCTTTAAAATTAATCATGAAACATAGACATAAAGAATCATTCTTTCCACAGTTCTACTGTTAGTACTGTAGTAAAGCCTTCCTTGATAAATGCTGTAGCCAACACAAAAACAATATTTCAATTCGAACCAGTAGTTCCTGAGATTAGCGCGTGCAAACAAACAAACTCACCAGCCTTATATATTAGTATACATTTTGTAAAGTCACGCCATACTGTCACATAAAGCGGGTCCATTATTCCAATGTAAATTTGTACATATCAGACAATGTGCCACAAAATGCTCTCATGGACGGCATTGACGTCACAGCTTGTATCTCGTTTCAACACTTGCTTGTTCAAGTTTATCATACTATATTGAGTTAGTGCTATTTTCTTCCGACTTTCCTTATTAATCCTAGGGTCGTTGAGTGCTGTACTTGTATTTTTCTTATTGAATTTTTCACCGTTCCATAATCAAAAAACAGACATTCCTTTTTCAAATTATAAGACAATCTCTGTTATCTGTGCATAGACAATACATTTAAGCTTTATTTACTTACACTTACAACATAGTAGTTCAATTGGTAGAACGACAAAACACTCTATTACTCTTATTTAAAAAAAAATACGCGAATAAATGTTTTAAACATTCCTCAATATTGTATGCATAAAAAAAACATATGGCGATCTATTAAGATATCGACTAGAAATTGAATTCATTAACAAAGTTGCGGTACCGCTTGATCAAAACAGAGTTCGTGACGCAAAAAATGGCTCGCAGCACGAGTGGAGGCTTAAGTCCAATTTGGCTTAACAGTGATTACATGTTATTAGCAAATGAGAGTGAACAATAGCTTGTTATGCATTGTTTCCCGTCGGTAAGTCGATATTTTTTATCGTCCGCACCCATTGACGTCACCGGACCGGTTCAAATTGCGCGTGTGTGCAGGGCCTGCGCAAACGCACCGTTTATGACACTTCACATTTTTTATTGCTATATTTTTATTTTTAGTACTAAAATTTAAATAAACGATTTATTCAGATGCTAATTTGAGAAAATCATATTAACTCCTTAAATACTAAACACTGTCTGTAGTTTACGCGAGTAGTACACATTTAAATAAAATATGTAAGAAAAAGTTTATAACGCGAAATATTAGTTAACTTATTTACAAATTATAACAATAAGTATATCTTAAACTAAACTTAAACCTAAACCATCACAATTATTATGATAAGGACATTTAATATTTTCTTCAACTTTCTGCCGAGTACGTAAAGCCCAAAGGTTTGGTTTAGGGGCATGCTATCTTTTCGTTTGAATATGTCTGTATGTTTGCTTGGTGCTTGCGTGCCCATACCACTAGATTAACTCGCTCTTAATACATCAGCAATTCATATTTTTATTTCAAAATAAATTATTTTAAGCGTAGCCCTATATCAATTGCGCAAACACCATACTAGTTAAGTAGACCGACACAGAATTGCACTCAGTTCTAAACGCGAAACATTAACCGAACACTCTTAATTTATTTAATTACTTAAATTGACATATTTATCCGGCTCACATAAATAATTCGATTATGGACGCTCTAGATTATGCAAACATTTTGTATTGAATAAAATAATTTTTAAATCCCTTTTAACTTAATATTATGCATACTTAAATTAAAATCTCTTTATCGTGTTAATTATGTTAGTTGCCATAAGAGTACATGAGGTTTAAGGAAATAATAACTAAGGTTTAACGAATTTAAGGCAATTCAAGTTTTTATTAACAAAAATACATAATTGTTAAAGTCATATAAGAATTAATATATTTTTTTAATTATGATGAAGGAGGACAGACAAGCAGGGGTTTCATTTGATGGTAGATGAAATACCCTAGCCATATAACATCTAAACAAGATGGCTGTCGGACTACTGCGGTTTTGGCTATTCGGAAATCCACAGATTGTAAACTTCAAGGCATCTGTGGACGACGGTTCGTTACCAGGACGGAGTTTCGATATTCCTACCGCTCATTTAATATACAGTTTTCCAGTCTAAATCCAACTTGTTTCAGAACAATTATAAATTGATTAAGAAAATATTGGACCCGGTAGGGATCGAAATGATTACCGTTGATTATTATTAGACATATTTGCTACAATTATACCAACAAGTCGATTTTATGATTCTCACCTGGTATAAACACCGTTGAATACTTAAGTAAAACTAACACCCATAGTTCGTTGAATTGGTGACGATGTACAGAAAAACCGACGTCAAAGAAGATTAGAGGAGCTTGAAACGAGGCCACTATCGAGCCACCGAGGCTAAATCAATTAAAGATAAATAAGTAAAAATGTCGGCGGTTTTTCGTACAGGTCGCTCAGGGTACAAGCCTGAAATAATCTTTAATATGTGGGTTTAAAGAGTGAAATTGATTGTTCCAGATGTTAAACGCCGAATGATGGCGCGGGTGCCTTGAGCGACCTGGAAGACCTGCGCTTGCGCCCGCCGCAGTGCCTCCTTTCACCTGAAGACGAGCTATCACCCCTATTAGGGCCTTCATATCGAATCAGAATCTTATATTAGTCATTGTTTTATAGAAATGATAAGTAGGTCCTATCATATTATGTTTGATCACTTTTATTTTTACAAGCATTTCTATTTCTTATTATATTGTTATCACGCTTAGAGCAGCTACTTTATAAGACTTTATATACGGTCCTATCCAATTGTTTATATCTTTACTATAATAAAAAAAAATTTCGTGCTGGATCACAAAAATGAGGATACCTAACTTTTTAAATTCCTAAAAGATCTATTAGTGTTAAGCGAACAACTATTCTCAATTTTTTCTTTTAAATTATATTCGCATTTCTTTGTAATTTATCTCATGAAAGTTACAGTATTATTTTTCTTACTCACGTTACAATTTTTATTTTTTTGCCAAAGAATACTCCAAAATCTGTTACGGCCTTAATATTTTTGCTCCTATGTAACTGATTTACTCCTAGAGCTATTTATTCGATAAATGTGATATTGCTTTAATTATTTCGTTAAATAATTTTAAATTCAATAATTAAGTTTCCTGGAAACCTTGTTATAACTTCTGAAGCATTATTTAAAATTATTAATATTCCAATTTCAAATGATCGTTATGGACGTTAAAATTTTTTTTTTTAGTCTGTGGAATCTCATTTCACCATAGACAATATTTAATTATGATATACAATATAAAATCTCTACATTTAACGTAAAATTACAATATTAAAATTTAAATAAAAAATGATTAATTCGCCTTACCTCGGCTATTATTTATTTGTAAATTATTATTAATATACTGATTGTTTAAATAAAACACTAACGGTTTAAAACGCGATATATATCAGTTAAACTTAACGTTAACTATTCGTGTAAACTAGAAACAGTATATACTTACTGTTACTGAAAAATATTCATAAATTCCATTTTCATGCTTAGGTTATCTTTAAATCAAGAATAACAGAATAAAACATATCAATATTATAGTTTTAGCTTAGGTGTAATTTGAATCCCTTTTTAGTTCAGAAAATTTCCGATATAAAATCAAATGCACAAATAAATTAAATTAAATAGATATTTCAACACTTTTACTGTCTCTTTCTCTCGTGTTAAATTAATGAATCTGTTATTTCATTGTTTTTATTATTGAAAAATGTATTAATAATTAACGTATAATATACATACATGTTCTTATTGACATAGTCATAATAAAAGTATTTACGTTTTCCTCACATTGACGTCAATGATCGGAAATTAAAATAAATCTTGTTTACATAATGAGTTATTGTTGGATGAATATATTTTGTGAATGTAATAAAATGTTATTGAATTAATGTCGTTTGATATTTGCCTTATTAGCATATTGATTTGTTTGTTTAATTTTTATATTGATTTGTGTAAAAAGTCATTAACATATTAAGTAAACGCTGCTTAGACTTTGTTAAATCTAAAAAGTTTTGTTAAATTGAAGAATGATGCAATACTCAAGCTATTTAAGGCTTTGGGTAAACTAAACTGGATCGAAATGCGGCTCTGTCATCTAGTAGAGATGGTCTGTGACCCAAACCTATTTTATCCAGACTGTCCAGACGAAGATTAACTCGAAGAAGAATGAAGTAAGAATTTCGAAACTAAGTGTTATAAAACATTATTTGACAAATATTGTGTACATAGATATAATAACAAAATGTTAAAAACTGTATCAATTAATTTTTTGCGCCTCCAACATCAATGTTAGCAATGTTGCAAGTACGCAAAATTTGAAAGGTAAAATTTTATTCATACAAATCTTGGGTCTTGAAAACTGGAACTCTATGTTGTGTTTGCACAACTTTGCTTATTTTTAAATATTTTTTTACAACGAATTGTCTCTCATGGGACAAATTAATTAATAATGTATATTTATAGTATCAATGCAGCTTAACATCATAAATAATAATTAATAATAAATAGTCAATATAATACGAAGGAATGAAAACAATTGGTATTTCCTATCAAAGGCACAACAAATAATGAGGCATTAACTACGTAAAAAAATAAATTCCTGATAACTTTGATTTTGTTGGTTTTAGGTGGCAATAAAAGACATTAACAAAACTTTTAGTTATGTGTCAACGAACCTGGGACTTCCGGCGAGTAACCGTTGAGCTAGGCCTTCTATTTATTATTACATTATATTTATTTAATATTTAATGTTAACAGTGATTTATTTCACTATTTGTCAGATTATAATCACAACATTCGGGTCACTTGTCTTTATCTATTCCTTAAAATCAAGCTGCATTATTCAACGCATTGCGAATTTAATATAATACTAGCCGTGGCTACGACTCCGTCCACGATGAATAGTTATATTAGGCTATATATATTTTTCCGAAGAACATCCTCAGCTTTATAAATCACAGCTGATATCCACGACGTCGTCCGCGTCCCGACGTTTTTGCCCATTCTTTTATACATACTTTTTGGATTATTGAACCACTTTTACAGCACACGCCACAGAAGCACTCAAAGGTTTATAATTTTACCAGTTCTTTTCACATTTTCATCTATTTCTAAACTGCTATAGGTAGCGAAGTGTTGTTTTATAGCCTAAAGCCTTCCTCGATAAATGGTCCAACCTAACGTTAGCACGTTCAAACAAACAAACTCTTCAGATTTATAACATTAGTGTAGATAGACAATAAGTAAGTTTTCGATTAGCGCCTTGGTCCAATATTAGATTCACGACTGTTATCAATGAACGGGTTTGAGTGTGTATGTAAATCTTTTTATGACCTTTCTTATTTTATTTATCACTTACTTTATTAGTTAACGCCTGTCAATTCTCGACATTAAATCACAGATTTGTTTAATCTGTGAATCTCTATATTCACTAATCCATAATAGGTCAATAGTACATCTAAATTAGAGTCCATTAATATCCATATATCCTTTGTAAAGTTTGAATTTTGCTGGGCTGTTTTAACCAGACTTAAACAAGATACATCAAATATATATTTAAAATGTATTGTTAATGGGATTAAATAAATAGAGTCAAACTTTATTATAACATTAAAAGCTACGTAAAAGTAATTTAAAAGGATTTAAGTTGTACCTAGCTTGGTATCAGTTAAATAAAACTCCGTTAGAACCAAAGGTATAGCCGGTCGCTGTGAAAGGCTTTTAAATAAAATTAAAGACCGTATAGAGAAATAGCACGGAAAGTACTATTCAATTGAAAACCAATGATTTATGTCTGTTTGTCTTCAACGAGGTAAAAAGTAGTTCATTCCTTGCGCTTAACACTATCATAGAAATAAGATGTTTGTCTGCGAGTAAATATGCCAATATTTTTCTTCCAAATTGCTAAACACACTGCAATATGTTTTTTTATGGAAATTACTTTTTGAATATAGCATAACAATTTTAACCATATATTTTTATTTATATTAAATGAGTTTTAATCGAAATTTTGCATTTCGCTATAAAATTTAAAAAATGTCTTAGTTATTCATTTGTTCTCTTTATTTCACACGACTGCGTGAAATTTATAAAAGTATACTCGCGCATAATTCTTTGCTCAGCATTCCACAGATAATAAAATCGATCAGAGTAACGGATGTAGAAATATGTCTACCCTCAATAGGATTTCACACAGTCGTAGACATCGTTTGCGTCTCAAAATCAATGTCTTTTTAAAAGAAAAAATGCGATACGCGAATTCCTCGAAACATGTTTTCAAGTCGGATTCAGGGTTTCAAGCTAGTAATTAGTTATCATATTAGGATGTGAAGCGATGATAGATGCGGTGTTAGTTGAAATAAATAAGGCGACACAAACAATATTGGTCGCGAGAAATACGACTTGTCAACGGTTGATTTATTTTAGCGTCGCGGTGGAGTTGCGCGCGAGTTTAACTTGTAGACTGGCTGTAGAGCGGGACTTTAAGAAATATACTCTATATTTTATTTAAGTATTGTATATTTCAATCGGAAATATTTGAGCAACGTAAAAAAAAATTTAGTTAACTTTACCAGTGTATTTACCCCTTTTGAAGGTTCCGTACTTAAAGAGCAAAAAGCAACACTTTTTCCATGTGTTAGTAAGACTTCTCTATCTGGCTGTCTGTCACCTGGCCATGCATCAAGAAACGAAATGACTAAAGACCTGTGTATAATTTTTAGTTACAGCGAGTAGTACTCTTAAAAAAAAACACTCTTAACTGTTTAAAACGAAATCGGTTTTAAACAAATATATTTTGCGTTTTAAACCATTGTGTGTTTTAATTTTACTGATTTTTACACAAACTAACAGTTACTGTAATTGCTATGACAGTAAATACAAAATTTAAGAGTCACGCAAACACATAAAGCGATTTTGGTTATTTATCAACAAATGGTAATCGGTTTATGTGAAACACCGTTTTCCTCTCGTGGGGGATGGGGTGAACACATTTCTTCTGTGCCCTGCCCGACCGAAACATTTTTTTTTGTTTCACTGGGATTCAATGCTATATATTTATAAATAGATTCAATACGTTTAACCATTTGGCTACACAGGCGGTCAATCGGTAGACACTTAAAATTAGTAGAAGTTCACTAATAGTAGTAACAATATACCGCAAAATCAAGATGTTAGTTCTATAGAAATAGGTGGTAATGTGGTATTCTCATAGTTTTCTTAAACTGCTCCTAAAACCACTTTCACGGTCTTTATAACATTAGTAAAAAATAATAAGTAATACTTTAACTAGAAGTAAATTACTCAAATACTGTCTATAGTTTACGCAAGTACATATTCAAATAAAACACTTTAACGGTTTAAGACGCGATATATTAGTTACTTATTTGAAAATGATTCTTTACTTCAGCCCGACGTTTCAAAAATAAAAATCATTTTCAAATAGGTAAGTTCAACTAATATATCGCGTTTTAAACCGTTA